ACGACAATGATGAAATTAGAAAATAATTGAGAATAAAGAAGTAATAAAGTCGATGGTATCAAAACTCAATGAGATAAGTTCAAGTATATCTGAAGTTAAAAGACAAAATAAAAATTTAGAGCACGGCCAAGAAATACATATAAATTTGAGTAAGAATATAGAAAATAAAGTTGATATATTAACACAAGAACAACTTAAAAGCCAAAATAAATATTTAACAGGAATATTTTCAGAAATAAGAAAAGGTATTTCGGATTTGGGAGAAGATAAAACATTAATACGATTATCAAGCAGTATACCGAATGAAAGTATAAAACATTTTATACAAAAAGAAACATTATTCAAGGATATAGGAGAAATATTTTCAAAATCAAATAAATATGTTATTATCAGCGGTTATGCTGGTTCGGGTAAGACAACACTCGCATCAAAATACACCCATGAACAAAGAGATGAGAATAAAACAGTTCGTTGGTTTAATGCTGAATCAAAAGATTTAGTTTGGAATGATTACAAAAATATGGCAACAAAAGAGCTTAAAATAGGAAATGAAATAAATGAAAGACAAGTTAATATAAATTTGGTAAATAGTAGGTATGTTACAAACCCAAACCCAAGTCCGAGACTTGGGTTTGGGTATTGAGTCAGACTTGGGTTATTAAAAGACTCCTTTTAACTGAGATACCTTCTTTTGTTGTGGATCTTTGAGAAAACAGGATGTAAGATGTTTATTTCGGCCTGTGGGCATACCTAATGCCTGATGCTAACGATAAGACCTCATTTTGGATTAGTTCAAATATCCAACAGTTGAATGTTTTATTCTACTTATCTTGTTCATATCATCCTCATCCTTGAAACAGAGAAAAATACTAACAAAATAAGCACTGGCAACATGCCACAAATATGTTAACAAATGATCGGTGAACACTATAAAAAATGATATAAAAGAATAGAGAAAACTAAAGCAAAAAAGTGAATTTTTGAAATCGAAAACAGCGACGATGAAGAGAAAAAAATAAATGAATAGTATGGCAGAAGATCGTAAAGTACTACTGATAAGTTTCATTGAAGAAGAATATTAATGTACTATGGCAACTGACCCAAACCCAATTCCTAGACTTGGGTACCCCAACCCAAACCCAATACACCCTAATCGCTTGGTTTTGGGTTTGTAACATACCTATTGTCCATCCAAAAAAAGAATGGTATATGACTGTTTTTTGAATAACTTTTGATAGAAAAAAGATAAACAGCTCCAATTTTCACCATTCGAAAGAGGAGACTTGGGGACATGTTTTCATAACCAAAATTGTTCCCAGAAGAGCTTTCTGAAACAGATTTTCTAGGGGATCTTTGGAAAACTAGCCCGTGTGTAAAATTTTTTCAATAGGATTGTATTGATTTCTTTTCACAGACTGATAGCCCAGGGTGTCCTTTTCAAGTTGAGAGTCAAGTGAGACCTTGATTTTCCGCGCTTCGGGGTTGTATCGGATTTCCTACGAATCCCACGACTGGCCCCTAGTGACGATCGGTAGCCTTCAAGACGGATGAACTATGCATAATCGACCACGCTGCGTCTCGTGGCAATATTAGTTTCTAGAAAAGTTTTAAAATTCTACCGAAAAGCGAGTTTTACGAAAATGAGAGTTTTCAGACTGTTTCATCTAATATTAAAAAATTCACTATTCACTCAAAATACATCAGAACGAGTTTAAGATTTCACGATATGGTTAATTCCCTCTGCTAAACGTGATCATACGATCTAAAAATCAGAAAAAGCATATTTTTGGAATTCTGTTTTCCAGAAAACCTTTTCGAAAATCTTAGGGTTCTGTGGAATTTCTTTTGAGATCTCCTATAAGCGAAGAAATAAAGAATAGCTTAAATACTCCACATTCGGAAATCTTGAACTCGTTCTGATGTATTTTGAGTGAATAGTGAATTTTTTAATATTAGATGAAACAGTCTGAAAACTCTCATTTTCGTAAAACTCGCTTTTCGGTAGAATAAACAACAATAATTTGAAAGACAACTAAAAACAATAATTTGAAAGATAATTTCGAGTTTGATAATGAAGCAAATTTAGAAATGAAAACATTTAATAAAAGTGAATGCATTGAATATATAATAAAGTTGGATAAAAAGAGAACGTTTAATCAATTTCAAGCAGAAGAACTATCTGATCTGATAAAAACAAATGAAAAAGAAGAAGTGTATCCGTTTAAATTATCAAAAGTGATAGCTTGACTATAAAAGAAACTTCATGGACGATAGAAAATTATAAAAGAAAAAATAAAAGAACATGAGGAGATTGAAGGAGAAGAGTATTTGCTTAAAGAACTAATAAATGAATCTCCAAATGGATAGAAATTATTACAGCATTGCGTTTATTTAGATGAACATTTTATAAGCATCGATATACTCAAAGAAATATTAACAGAAGAAAAAGTAATAATGAAATTGATATCGATAAAGAAAAAGAAATGCTAGAAGAACTTTCAGTAGTAAATCACATTCAATTAGAAAATGAGAAAGAACCTGCAATAGGAATAAAAATACATTCGATAATAAAAGATATCATTGAAAAATATATAGAAAAAGAAACGAACAATGAAAAGTGCATACAAAACAGAACATATTAGAAAAATTGATTCAAGCAGTCGATAATAAAATGCCAGCAATTTCTCATATGCCGAACAACGATTGGAATAAAGCAGCAATATATTATACACATGCCTATAAATTGATAAATTTGACTTTAACACCAGACATTCAACACAATAGCCAAGTTATATTTAAAAACAGCAAAATACCATGAAAATAAATTTTGCAATTTTGAAAATTTACTAAAATATCATCAGAAAAGTTTGAAAATATTAAAAACATTATATGAAGGTAGTGATCCACTTATTGCAAATTCATTGAATAAAGTTGGATCGATTCATCATAAATTAGGAAATGCAGAAAAAGGACTCGCATACTTCAAACAAGCATTAGAAATGAGACGAGGCTTATATAAAGTCAATCATCAAGATGTTGCGACCTCATTAAATAATGTTGGATGGAGCTACGCTACATTAAACGATGCCCAGAAAGCATTAGAATACAAAGTACGAGGATTAGAAATGTTTCGACATTTATATACGGGCAGCCATCCAGATGTTGCTGATGCATTGCATAATGTTCGTACTGGTCATTATAGTTTAGGAAATACTTGTACAGTATTAGAATAATTTGAACAAGCTTTTCATATGTTTAGAGTTTTATATGATGCAGGTCATCCGAAAGTTGTTTCATCGCTAAATAATATATTAAATATCAGGAAATCGAACGGATTCTAAGATTTTGATGAAACATTTTGAATAAGATGAACTTTAAAAGTGCATTGTTTGTAGATTTTTAATCGATTTTATCAATATCTAATTTAGCAGTTTATTTTGAAAACATTTAGTTATTTCAGTTTAATTTCTTACTTTATTATCTATTTTGACTAATTTGTAGAATATTTTACTTCCAGTCATAGAACTAGATGCAGTTATGTTTTTTTACTTTTAATATTATCATGTTCGTTTGAATCATTAAATTTAACATTAAAAATTGAGAAAAAAAGACGATACGTTTTATTTATTCAAGAAGTTCTACTTGATTATGAAAAAAGATAAAGGATGTGCATTCTTTTGAATTGTTCTATTCATTTTCTACAATTTTATTTTGCAATTTGAGACCGGTCTGATTTGTAAACATCAGCAATTACGCAATATCTATATGGGGCTCAAAATTATTTTCAACGACTATTTTCAAATCCAGATGTACAGATATTTGGATGTTCAGATATTCAGATATTCAGATGTACAGATCTATACGTATATCTAAATATCTAGATAGCTAAATATCTAAGTATCTCGATATCTAAAGATCTGTATATCTAAATATCTCAATATCTGTACATCAGTATATCTATACAGCTGTACATCTGTACATCTGAGTATCAGTTTTTGAGTATTAAATCTGAATATCTCAGTATCTAAATATCTAAAGGTCTCTATATCTCAATATCTGAATATCTAATGATCTTACTCAAAAAAATCATGTATTTTTTCCAAAAAGCATAATCGTGAAAATCAGACCCTACTGTGCGATTTAATAAACGCAATAATTACTAAACGGTTAAACTTATAGTTTAAAATTTCATAACCAATAAAAACTTTTATGAATTCAAATTATTCAACATCATTTATTCCAAAAGGTGGTATATATGATGATGATTCATATTTTTGTTCATATGCTGAAGCTGATACAAGCGGAACGAGTCCCTATTCGGATATCATTATATATCCTACATGATAATTTATTTATTGTATTAGATATACTGTAGTGGTAGTATGAATTCACAATCTAGTTATTTGAATTTGTATAGATTAAATGCAACTAGCAATTGGTGATTCTTTATCATTCTACTCATTACAGCAGTCAAAGTAGCTGGTTTTATTTAATTATTTTTATTAGGCTTTTAAGCGTTAACGTTTAGGAGTTTTCCAGAGAAAAAGGTCCAAAAATGACCCTGAAGTATTTCCGAAAGTTTTTTAATATACTTCAAGCTATAGAGTTTGGGTTTGTTTTATTTTAAACCAGACACCTAACTGCATCGGCTGATCGACGGCGATTTTTCCATTAAGCCTTTGTTCGTTTTGTAGACAACCAGCAACCTCAAAAATCCGAAACGCGCTTTCTGGATTTCTAGAAATCATGGATTTGACAAAAAACTAAGAGCTAGCTGGAAAATCGATGCCGGTCAGCCTATGTGGTTCGGTGTCTGGTTTAAAATAAAACAAACCCGGGCTCTGTAGCTTGAAGTATATTAAAAAACCTTCTGAAATACTTCAAGATTCTTTTTGGAACTTGATCTTGACAACTTCTAAACGGTAAGATTTGGAGAAAAAAGGAAAATGGAAATTGGGAAATACTGCGGGTGTAACTACCATGTAGAGGAAACACTGTATAAAATGCTCAATTTTAGGACTTGTAGAGAAATGCTCGTAACTTTAATAGTGTGGTTTAGCGAACGGTAAGCTTTCGGAATTTGCCTCGAATTGTACACCTTTGCAGCAGTGGCAGAATTCCTACATTACAGACATTCTACAGAATTCGATAGAATTCTATATTTTCGCTGCGAATTCTACAACACCTCATTCACAGCCGAAACATGATAAGTCCGAGTTATTCCCAAAACATATATCTAGGAAATGTACAGAATTCTATAGAATTCTAGGTTAGTACTGTACGTAGAATACTATAGAATTCTAGGTTAGCACTGTACGTAGAATTCTGTAGAATTCTAGGTAAGCATAGATATATAATATGATGACCAAGTTAGAGTCAAGCGGAAATGTATAGAATTCTACGTACAGTAGTAACATAGAATTCTATAGAATTCTAGGTAAGCATAGATATATAATATGATGACCAAGTTAGAGTCAAGCGGAAATGTATAGAATTCTGTAGAATACTAGGTTACTACTGTACGTAGAATTCTACAGAATTCTAGGTAAGCATAGATATATAATATATTAGATACTGAGATATTCAGATTTAATACTCAAAAACTGATACTCAGATGTACAGATGTACAGCTGTATAGAT